ATTGTCATTGTCATTGTCATAAGTGAAGGTTTTGTTAAATGTTGCTTACCATATGTGCTATATTCATATATAAATAATGTAAACACAGAAAGTGAAAAATATGCTGACCAAAACAAGCAGACACTTTTGGGAAAGATTATATTTTGATGTGACCTGATTAAATTCACATCGCAAATAATGTATTTCGCTCTTAGTATGCAACAAAACCTGTTTGAAATCGCTGAGTAAAAAGTGCACACCGTAGGCGGTTTTATTCAAAGCAGTAGTCTGAGTAGTCAAACACTGGACCATGCTAAATAAGACATCTGGTATCTGATTTCAACAAATAAGGTATAGGTGTTTGTTTAGCAAAAGAAAAGAAGTGTCGATAAAAGAACGCCATAAAGCAAGACATCACACTCTTGGGATTTGCGATGTAAATATATTCAAGCTCTTCATGTAAGTGGTATGGCTTTGCATAAATAACATGAACGATTTAATACTAGACCACACACTCAGTCCCCGACAAAAAAAAGGTCTTAGATCAATACATTCATTAATATTTGCATCCCTGAAGCCTAAGATCATTGTCGAGCTTCTGCTCCGCTTGTAATTCATTTAGATAAGGTAAGTGTAACTCAGTGTAGCTACAATCTGGTAATATATAGTCGTTGTATATACCTTTATATTTGAGTAGCAACACAGCTGCAGTAATGATGATATACTGAAACTCACGACTCTTTTAAGCTCAGTTCAATGCAACGATTCTAAAATGAATCCTAGCACTTCTAAATTCGGCAAAGATTATGGAAATAGAACGACAAGAATAAGAAACTGAAGACAAGCAAAATTGGCCGGCTGAAAGTTATCAGAACGTAACAACTCAGTTTTAATTGAAATTCAAAATGTTTTCAAATTCAGTAGAGTTCTTTTATGATGTTGGAGCGATTATTTTCATCTTATTTTCGAACAAACATTTGAAAACTGAGTATATATAGATCAGAGAAGGACTCAAAAAGCAAAGACATTAAATGAGATATCACTAAGGAGAGATAAATAATCTAATCGGATCAAGAGTGTTATTATAATTGTATTGAATTAAAACGTGGCGCGACATGGTTACTCATACTGCATGAGTCACATGGCCATGAGCAGATGAGCCGGATCTAAAAACACCATTCATAATGCAGCAGTCTGTTAATAGCTAGGGCTGGTAAAAATGAGTGGGACTATAACTTGCAGAGAAAGGGGTGGTCATCAGTCAAAAATTGTACTCAAGATAGGGTGGTCAATTAAAAGGAGGCTGTGGGTAGTTTTGGTCTGGCACACCTAGCCGCATTGAAACGGCTACAACTTTGTCTTAAATAACTCGATCTGCAAGTGCTTTTCACACAATGTCAGGAAAGGATTAAAGGTTTCAAAAATGATAAATTAGTTTAAAGCGGCCTTTTCGTTATGACGTAATAGAAATCGTTTACCGCTTATTTTCTCGAAAACTAGACCTAAACTTTCGAAGCGACTTGAACCAGTCGATATTATTCAGCAAGGCACCCAACATATTGCAATATGAAAAAAATTTATGAGAGCGTTTTCCAAATATTACGCGATGAATATTTTCATGGACTTTTACTATTATWTCCAGCGTGTCAACTTTATACCCTCAAAATCGTGACTTCCATTTAGTGAATTCAATATTTTTAGTATCTTTTAGTATCGTGTTTCTAAATGCAGTCACTAAAAGACGTATCTTTTACAAATATTCTCCTTTAATTTCATATGCATTGAAGGGTTTTAAGGCAGTCAAATAAAAATAAGGACGCTCACAACTATTTTCTCTTAGGGCTGCTTGTTGATTATTCACGCTTGACTTCCGTGTTATTCCTTGTTGCGTGCTCTTACGGCTGGCTGCACCGCTTACACTTTGCAGAGCTCTGCGTACAAAGTCTTGCAACGCCAGCAAAGCGTAAGCGTGGCTAGGTGTGCCAAACCAAAACTACCCACCAAGTTTTTTAAAAGCACACAGAAACATTGGAAGGGGTTCATCTTTATTTTTTTAAATCCTGGATAATACGTGTGCAACAAATTAGTTTTAATTCTTGGTAGTACATTGTCCGTGTGCTAAGATCTTGCCATAAATGTACCATTGAAAGCTCCCTGCCTGGCGTCCTACCGTTAAAGGGCGCCGAATGTCTATTGGGCGCGGCTTTTAAATCGAACTAACTCTCTACTCGATCACAAAATCCTATATTTACTCTCCCTGGACGCCCCATAATGTATTGCGATCCAAAATTTAAAGTTGGCCGTCGTATCGTCGAAGTAGACAGTATTACCACCCAATAATACTCGCTGATAAATCGCTCATGTTTGGATATCCTTTGAATTTCAGCTGTGAACGACACTTGAAAAACAATGGCAAGAATGCTACCTCGTTCCAAGAAAACGATATTCATTTTCCTACTTATTGGCAGTAGTAGTTTTTATGTGTATCAGCAATTTGGAGGACAGAACAGCACTAAAAAAGTATTCAATATTATTGGTATTCAACAGGACACATCAGGCCAAGAAGAATCGTTAGGAATGTCTTCTGGGGAAAATGGCCGGGGATATGTTGGTGATAAACATGGAATGAAGTGGAGACCAGTATTAAGGAAAGGTGCTCATTTTGAAATGGATAGTAGTAATCTTGATGTGCGAAATAAGGCGGTTCCAGTTAAATTGGACTCTATAAATAACCAGGCAAAGAAACTGAAAGCAAAATATACTGGAGGAAAGAATGTAGCTGAAAAACGAACCCATCGAAACAGAAATGATGAATTCCGAAAAACCAAGCCTAACAGAGTTAATAGAGGGAGAAAACAATTTAATAGAYATAGTAACGAGAAGAAACGTTCCCCACGTAGGGGAAGGCAGAGGCGAAAATACCAGAAAAATCAACCTAACGGGGGAACTGACGGTAAGAATCTCCCGGGTAGAGAGAGAGGTGATGTAACGAATTATAGCGGGGACGTCTATGACAAAAGCCGGATACATAGAAGCGGAGAAATAAATACCAGGAAAGTAAAACCAGGAAAATCCAGTGATTTACAACAAGACTCTGGTAATATAGAAAACAAACAACAGAATAATCATTTTTGTAACATTACTTTCGAGTACGGCCAAATGTGTCCGACTCTGTACACGGATCTCGGCGGATACTGCAAGATAGGCAAGAGAGTACCGGGAGGATTTGACTGCCCTGATATCCGTAGAAAAGGATATAATGAACTACGAAGCACTCAGCTCGTCCTCACGAGACTTCTAAAGATATTTGACCTGGTTGCTAGGAAACATGACATCAAATATTGGATTACATCCGGGACTTTGTTAGGTGCTGTAAGACATCGAGGCTTTATACCATGGGACGAAGATGCTGACATTGAAATGACACTGGATGAGTACATCAAACTCTTCAAATGCTGCAAAAATGAATTCCCAGAAGGAATATTTTTTCAGAGCTCGGAGACAGATCCTTATTTAAAATCACAGAATGAGACGGAAAATCGCCTTTTGAGACACCCAGTGGTTGGGCTTTATCGACGACTATGGAACCCAAGGCTAAGAGACACGAAGAGTTGTACAAAGTTTTGTCTGGCATATGGTTGTGGATGGGCCGACGGTCTAATGATTGACATATTCATCGCAGAAGACAMCATGCATCCATATCACTTGAGAAGAGTTTTCCCACTGAAAGAAATGTTGTTTGAAGGATTTCGTTTCCCCGTGCCGGGTAACTGGAGAAAAATACTGCAATACAAGTACGGGGATTACGACAAGGAGTTGGGAGAATATGCATGATGAGAGGATACCTGAGGATAATTCTGATCCTTTATGCAGTTGTGAGGAATTGAAGCAAGCGAACAACGACTAAGCATTCGTGAAAATACTTAATGATAGTCAATTAATGGTTTTCACAGCCGCCATTTTGGATGAATTTAACAAGATTCGACGCTAGTCTCTTTTGTTGTAGCATCCAACTTTACCACCGTGTCTTTTGTTATTTTGAGCCCCTGGGAATGCCTTGAAAACCAGCAATTGCAAAGTCATTGTTGGGTTCAAAAACTGTAGAAAATAGAAGCCGAGACCAAAAGATATGCTGGGAAATGACATCATTCACCATTTTCCATACATTGGTTCAACGGTCAAACACAAAGCGCTCAAGCGAGGCGCCAAGGTACTTTCAAAGGATTATTCAAATTTGAACCTTGCAACCTCGACTGAATGCTTTGTGTTTGACCAGTGAACCGATATATGGAAAATGGTGACTTTTCCTCTGATGTATTCATTTGAGATACGCAGTCGATATAAAACATGTTTTAAAAGCCTCCATACCTTCTGTCAGTGTAACAATTTATGAACATTCTACGAGTTGTATCACTAGATACTTCTAATTAACATACTTCCCATGGACCATTCTCAGTCTCAGCTTGTATGTTTTATATGATTTTGAACCCGACAATGATTTTTCAGTTGAGAGTATAACATAGAGTTAGCCTCCTTTGAAGACATTAGGGACCGACACAAGGAACGTYTGTAAAGGAGCCTAACATATGATAGGATCTTCCTAAGACAGACTAATTATTTATAGTTGCCTCAGGGGCAGATGCAGGATCTTGAGTGGATCTTTTCAAAATGTTGAACATTGAGAAACATTTTAGTCAAATTGGGCATTATTAATAGGCAAGAATTCTTTCGAGGGGAGGGGGGTGGGGTTCGTTCACGAGAACCCTGTGACCACCACCTGGATCCGCCAACGTCCTTATCGTTTATACAACGTATAAAGAATAAAAGGAATAAAATTTGGGCTTTAATTGACCTTTATTCGTGGTGTGACAATGCTTTCCCAATTCAGCGTGACGCACCTCCAGGGGATTCATTTTCTTTTGTTTTTACTCTTCGAAAAATTCATGAGTATCCCAAAGGATACGAAAGGAATAACGATGATATCCCGACGAGTTTCAAAACAATAGCTCTTCATTCCCCTAGAGGTTTGTCACGCTGAATTGGGACGGTCTATTGAGRTTTTGATAATCAGACTAGGAAAGAGTACACATTTTACCATATCTTTTACATCTGCATTCGTGCATCTATTGTTGGGCTGCAARCATTTTCAAAAGAATCAAAAGACAAAAAATGGCGGTCATCTTGGTGCTTGTTGGTATCCACCAACATAACCGCAATGACGCAACGTGCAATCGAAAAATACTGTGTCTATATTGTTCAAAGTTCTATTTTATTTGATACAATAATATATTACATACTATATGTCTGTATGCTGTTACCAAACATGTTCAGTGTAGTGCTAGCTGTCTATGTTGGAATCCAGCTCGTCCAGGAACAAACGACATTTTTCCTTTAAACATTTGATGGCTTCGCACATCAGAATATCGGGGCGCAATGCTCCTGTCGACTCTATTGAAACTGCAAAATGAGAATAATAATGGTTAGTAAAACTAATGATACATATTCTTCCAACCCACAGAGACTTCCTTCGACTCCTGACCCTCCGCTCCCATCACGGAATGGATAGAGATGACTGTGAAAAAGGCAGTGCCGTTTGCGCGATTTTTCTAGGATTTTAATTGGGGAATAGTTATCTCGCGCAATGTGATTGGTCTGGCAGTGCCGTGACCTTGGCGTGACCGTGTTCGCGCCGTGTTCCGGGTTTTKGATTGGATGGGGAGTGAATTCTTGTGCTATGTGATTGCGCTGGCGTATGCTTTGCCGTGTCACGACCGTGTTCATGCCGTGAGCTTTTTACAGTCATACAAAAACTGCTCTAGCGTGCATCTCCTAGTGAGTTAGACAGTGCCAACTGGTTCGTCTGACGATCCCCCTCCCCTCATATCATGGGCCTTAAACACGCAGCAGCCAAGTGTATTCTCATGACAATAAAAACCTTTGTTTCACCCGCATAAATRTATTCTCAAGCGCTTGAATGCAAGGCTATACGCGTGGGAAAATCTGCTGTTCTACTGAGCTACCGCCTGAGCAAAGTATATAGACCTCTTCGGCTTGGGGTAATGTTTTCCCATTTCAGACCACGTRTCATTCCCTTGAGAATAAGATTCTTTGTTTGAGCTGTATATACATATTCATGTGTCCAGGCATCCCAGCCACTTTTTAGACAAATTTGATAGGAAATATAGGCTGTGCAAGTTCTAAATATAGGAAGTGAAAATATAGGAGTTTTTCCCAAAAATATACGCACTTTATAGGAGCTAAAATAGCTTTTCAGTGGCGTAACCAGGGATCTTGCAGGGAGGGTGCACAGGCAATGATTTATTTGCAGAACCAAATAAGCCATAAAAAAGACAGAACCAAACAAACGAAAAAAAAAACGCCCAATATGCTAAACAGTGTAAAATGTAAATGTATCACTCAGCAGTTGTCCTATTTATAGGAAATATAG